AAGACATAGTTATTTCATAGTTTAGCATATGTAGAATTTAAAGATAGGGAACATATTACTTTCTGTTGCAATTCAGCGATATCGTTTTTGTCCATAGCAGCAACATCAACCACTTTCCTCAAATCAGCAATAACTGCCCTTTTTGCTTCAATTTCTTTCGGCAATTTTTCATTAACCATATAATGATTCGTTTCCATTTCTTCCTATAATTTTAGAACATAATGTTGACAAAATAATAATTACATCATTTGAAATTAAGATGGTAGATCGTTACCATCAAATCGATAATGCTAACTATATTCGAGTGTGGTGCAATCAAACTTCAGAGTATGCTACACAAATTAGTTCAAAATAGATTTAGATATAAATCGTTAAAATATTCTTATCCAGCTGTGGTTCAGGTTTCTCGATTACTGTTAGCTAAGGCAATGTGGACTTGGCTTGAGAAAGTTATGAGAGATCTACGTGCTTTCATGCTAAATAGTCAACGCAGCACTTTATCGTTCGTTGTTCATCGTGAAGAAAAGCAATTAACCTTCAGAGCTTTCATTCTTCTCGTCGGGTCAACATTTTCACCAGCTATCTTCACTTCCTCAAGTGAAATATTCAAACGTTGTAACTTCTGGTCGCTGAATAAAATCTGAAAGAAGCTTAGTACTAATTATAACTTCTTGAATTCTTTCATTGCTTCCACAATCTTCAACAATATCGAGTTCGTGCATTCGAATCATTTTTTGATCAACAGTTAACAATACGATATTTTTAAGGATTCCACGGAACTATAGAATATTCGCGTTTCTATTATTCAGAACTAAAAATTTAAATTAGAACTTTCTATAAATTATAGTGCTTTGAGAACTTATTTATTGACTTTTGCTAACTTCTAAAACTTCTTCAGAATAGTTCCCACCCGAGAAAATGCATGATTAGTTTTTTGGATTTCTTAATTTCTTAGAGAAATGTCCGCAAAGTAGGGAAAATTGAACATGTTTCCAATTATTCATTGTGTAATGTCAATGGTATTATCGTAGCTTAAGAAAGAAAAAGAAAACATTTTTAGATTTTCATTGAGAAGAATACAAGCCATAAAGTATGAATACTTTCATATTTGTTTTGTGCACCTCCTGCATTTCCCAACAAACATTTAAACTCATTGGAGGATATAAATTTTGCATGGTTTTCCACAAGGTTATTTTTTGCTGATGCCCAAATTTCATCGCTTTTACTTACTTGTTTTTGAGGACTATTTTGGTTGTTGTCGTATTTCGTTATTATTTTACCATACTTCTATTAAAAACTAAATTATGATCTAGGGAAATGTCGGAAAAATCTAATTAGATATAATTTATTCCAAAGTTCACTGTTTTCGAATGTGTTAGCAATTCTTTTCGTATTGTCAAATTACTTTTTCCTATTCAAATGAATCGAATAATTTATTTGAGGGAATTGTCACAATAATTCCTATCATAATAAACCACAAATTATGATGACATGAAAGTAATTCACGTCACACCAGTTTGCAGCTCTATACTCTTTATGGATGTTATTATTCTGTACGAATATTCATAGTCGAAGCCTGACAATATGTTTTTACTTATTCAATTAAATCAATTCTACCTACGATTTAATTAATATCTGTTCTTACTATGCAAGTTGATGTACAGATTAACGATACGGCACTGCTTGAATAAAATACTCAAAAAAATTGGTTGCAAAGACCACGGAATTTCCTGAATTCACAACCCTGTGATCTTTCTGTTGTTAATCATTTCTAGAAATTGAGCCGTTCTTAGACATCGATCAACATATCTTATGAAATTTTCTCGAGATCAATCATTTTATAAGTCCAGAATTTTTGATGAATAAATTACGGTAATTTATTGACCAAATTTCTCTGCTCCAGCCTAAGATGTCCAATTTTTTCCAATTGTTCATTCTCCAATCGACACTTTTCGGCCTGCCGCAACAAACGTTCAATATTTGCTATACCATGAAGCTTACGTTCGATTTTATCAGTGCGCTTACCCAATTGTTCTTTCTCGGTTTTCATAGAATTTAGATCAGCCCGTATATTCTCCATTATTAACGAGTCCTTACGAGCTTCTACAACTTGCGAATGTACATCCTGAAAAACAAAAATGCTGCTTATTAATTGAGTGCTACATTTGTATGTATATATTTCTGTTTCAACTGTTTTTTTCTCGTTCTCTGTTATTTTTCTAGTTTCTAATTCCCCCAAAACTTTCTTTATCTTTGTTTTAATGAAGTAATTTTTATTTTTTAACAATTTTTGTAAAATTTAAGTTTTACGGAGAAAAATTAACTCTTTAGTTACATACGAAATTAAGTGCTCACTTTGAACTCTTCCATCAAAGCTGAAATTTGATTTGATAACTCAATCAGTTCTGGATCTTGAAATGCACCTATAAACGATTAGGATTCCATTGGTATGATATAGGTGATGGATCGAATTTAAGTTCTTTTTAATTAACTCAAGATGAAATGCAGATTTTAAAAAACATCCGACCAATTTCACTAAGAAACATAGTTTAACTCATGCAGAACTGTAACTATAGAGGAATATTACTATAGTGGATGATTCTATGCAGTCACAAAAATTGACGCAATAATTGACTATAAAGAAGAATAGTTAGAACCTGGGACATCGATCCTGGTGAGATATTTGGCCAAATATGCACGCTCTTTCAATACATCCACGTTTTTAAAAATCCATTCTAGTATCGGACAAATCACTGTTTTTTCCCCTTCCACAATACTACGTCTCCACTGTTGTCTATTTTGGGAAACAGAAACGCAAATAACATTAATAATTTGTTTACACGAAAATGCTTTATCAAAGTATTTCATTCTGGATAATTGCCTATTAAATGTCTAACCCTATCGTTCAGTGATTTCAAGAAGTCTGGATTCCAGTAAAACGGAGAAAATTTATTGCTTTTATAAAACTTACTACTTAAGTAACATTCATAAAAACAATAAATAAATTGCTAAAATGCACATGTTTCTTTTTCAGCATAATACAAGTGACTTGTGATGCTTTAAATTCGAAACAACATTTGAAACTTTTAAAAGTTCAGTTTCTTGAGAAAAGTTTTGCAAAAAAAAATGTTTAATGATCAAAAATAGCCTTACTTAAAGTAAGGCGCATTTTTATAGCATCATACTGTTCTTCACAATAATGGCCGTGCTACTAACGCAATAGTGTTACTTTTAGTAAACTTCATTTATCATTACTGATTAACTCTGATGGAATGATCTGATGAATTTACCAAGTATGAAGTTTATATAATTTATTATCTTACAGTTTTTCGATATCAGCCGGTGGACGGTACTTGAGGACACGAAGAGAATTGAATAGACGAAGTGCCGTAACATCGGCTGCTTCTTCATGGATATCCACCGCATCTAGTCCTTCGATCCAAAGCAGCACATTACTCAGAATTTGCAGCAATTGCTCATTGGATATCGCATCGAAGTTGATCAAATTCAAGTTCATTTTAAACGGTTCGTCATTTAAACCATCCACGATCGTTTGCAGCTTTGTTTCCATAGAACCTGAGGAAATTTTCATATTCGAGGATTAATTATAAAATACTCAGAAGATCTGAAACTTGTAGAAAGAAATTCAATTATACACAGGTCAATTAAGTGCTTGAGGAAATATCAAAACTTCGGATGTTGCAACTTCACAATGTTCAAAATAATCTGCTCACATTACCATTTAAACGTGTTCTTTTGGCAATGTGAGGATTTCTGGATATTTTTACGGTCTATTTTATAAAGCTCCTATTTTTACTAAGACTATTTCTTTAAACCTCACTAACATTAAACATTTACGAATAAAATTCAAAAAAGTTCAGCAATTACGAATGTACCAGTCGTATGCACACGCAACATTTGAAAATCTTCCACTGTTTCCATGAGCATATCACTTACTTATGTGACCATTTCACAGATATGTAAAAGAAGTTGGACGAATTCCTTCGAACATTCTATTTCTATTATATATACATATGAGTAAGGGAGAGAGAAAATCACGTGTAAACATGACATACATAACTATTATACGCTTAGAAGTACGTAGATACGTCGCAGATTAGAGAGAAGAAAGATGAAAACGAAAGAATTATTTGGCTTAAGGCTTTAACATTATATTACCATAGTAACCACTTACGTATCGTTTGCTTCTCTTTTAAAAACTTATGCTTGTGCACACCGTATCGCTAATGGCCTAGGCAACAAGAGTTTCAGTGACCTATTAGGGCTGTAATGTGATCAAGGTTGCACTTTGAATTTATCATTGATAGTAAAGAAATTGGTTTATTTGCATAAAAGAACTTTTCAAGAGAAAAAAAATAAATTTTCTGGACTGGCCGTTATGAAAATTAAATTTATCCACAGATTGATTAAATGACTTGATTTGCCAAACAACATTGTAGTATTTCTACAAAATAAAACAATGATGAGCCACATATTCTAACTACATTTGATTAGAAACGTAATTTACTGAATGACCTGACTTTTCTCGAAGGTCAAAGATTATTCTCGGGATATATGACCATCCAGCAAAGACAAGTCAGTTAACCAAAATCTATACTTATCTAAGAACGCAAGTAATGCATATATCTTCAGTCAACAAAGGGATATTCTCAATGCAATGAGGAGAATAATGACAACTGCAAACTCTGAGATTAGTCTATTGCATTTCACTCTTGGAGATATCATTAAGGTCTGTCATCTAGAAGCAGTACTGTCCAGTTTTTCAGGAGTTGTTTCGGACTTATCGTTTGTTAGCGCCAAGTATCATCAAGCCATGAACTCATCGATGGCTGTATGGCTGTGTGTTCTACATCATGATCGGCCATGTTTGCACTTAAAAATCACAGTGCCGGAGAGCCTGTTCTGTAGCTGTCTATCGAGTTGGTTTTACGTTGTCATGATGTGTCTCATGAGCGGTATTAGATATATGAACAGAAGTTTCATTCTTTCCTCTCATGACATGTGAAAAAGTTTGTGAAGTTCGTAAATAATTGGTAGTTTTCATTTTCTTTCCCTTCTTTTTTCTCGTTACATGAAAAACCGATTTTGATATTTAATTAATTGTTACGCGTTTGTGAATGAAGATGAAATATTGAAATGAATGATATCTCTGTCGAAGCAAGATCGTCCACATCTTATCCAGAAATATCTCAACTATTCTTGATTGCTCACCCGGATTGTATGCGCAAGATTGCATGCGTCGCATAAAGTTCACTTTGAAAGTTTCTTTTCAGAAGATAGAAATTTGGTCGATTTATACTGGTGCATTCTTCACGTATAATTGTTAGAAAATAGAAGAAAATTATTAAAGTGAGTTGTCTGTTACCCATAACTGATTCGATACGCTTGTTGGAAATGCTGATAAAAATACTGGTAGTATTATTATTTCAACGAAATCAAAGCTTAAAAGAAAAGTGTACAAAAACAATTTTTGGCATAGTATCGTTGGATCAAAATCCTCCTGAGATATATTCAGTTCACGTTATATTTCGTTTCATTCTTTGGAATAGTTACAAATTAAATTGTTCGCTTTTTGAATGTTTTTAAAAGCTAATAAAATAATTCCGTGCTTGCTTGAAGCCTAAATGTTAAATATAATATTTCTTTAATTTAAGTTTTGAGGCAGACGAAGTCCGAATTAATATTTCTAGGTTTATTGAAATTTCGGTTGAATTAAACTTGTTATTAACGGTTGATAGCTAATTCTAACATACTTTTTTGTAGATGACATCATTAACTGATGGCAGTTATCGATACACACGACTGAATGACCTGCCTTCATCTTCAACAGAGTTTTTTACTGACACCTTACAGAAGCAACAAGTTTGTTCGCGAGTCTTTTACAAGTTTTACCAAAAGCTTCTTCCTGTTTAGAAACGAAATATCAATGTGAAGTATTAAAAATCGTTACTATTACTATTTGCAATTTCTTGAAATCTTTCCTGTGTATGTTAGTGAATTTATTTAGAATGTCGCCTTGACCGCTGCATATTTTTATCCGAATAATAACGCACAATATATACTGGTTCCAGATAATATTGACTGATCAGGACAAAGATCTGGAAAAAGTAGGCGATTCTGTGCAAATATTGAAAAATATGAGTAGTCGAATTGGAACGGAGCTCGAAGAGCAATCAATGTAGTCTCTTTTCTTTCGATCATGAATGTTATTTGTTATAAAAAGACAGTAAAAGGTTTCAAATTTAAATTTATGAAGTTCATTGTTATAGCCAGTAGGTTTTTTTTTCCAATTTCCAACATCACTTAATCAGCTAGCAAAGTAGTGAATTAATTCAAATTCTTGAATTTCCAGTAATTCGTTTTTAACTTATTGGGTCACAATCTAAAATGGATAGGGATTTTTAGATAGAAAGCAATAGGAAGGAATTGTTTGATATGTAGAAATTTATTTAGAAATACACGGATGAGACCGAATACACTTTCGTTGTACATCGGGACGACCAGGAATTCTTTTACATGGAGAGCTTTCTTTCCCAACATCCGGGTTCATTATTTTTTGATCCTCATAAGTGCTAATAATTGTTCTTCAGCTTCCAATTTCTTTAGAATGTTGGATGATCTAAGTACGGATATGGAACGGACGGGGATAAAGTTGGATGAAATGATGAAAAAAATTGCTAAATTGACCAATATGAACGATGGTTTGTTTGAACCGTTTTCACCACTAATTTTTTGAATAATGAAGTGCATATGTACTATGCACAATAGAGTGCATAGTTCCTCAATCCAAAAATTTATTAAGAAATAATGAAATGACAATTTACTGCGACTGAAGGAATTAGGATTAAATTGCGTTAAATCCTGGGAATTTCAGATAAGAGGCAGTGGATGGCGATTCTTGTTCTTTCTGTATTATTGTTCCTTATTGTTCTTTTGTTCGTGCTGCTGTAGATTATTTTTGTTTATCATTCTGCATTTCTGTTTTCATGCTTTCTTTGTTTTTAATTTTCTGTTTTCATGCTTTCTTTGTTTTTAATTTTTCAAATGACATATTTGTGAGATAATCAAAACAGGAGGGAGTTGAAGATTTCTAGATTTGGATTTGGCTAAAATTTTGCGAGAAATGTCAGCTTGTATAAGTCGATGATCCTAAATGAAAAAAGAATTTCCTTGCCCAATGAATGTGATTGTTTTCGATTTAGGCAGTATTTTTATTGTATTCTTTTATTTCGGTTTTTTACGATTTTGTTTTCTATCGTTTTAGTGCTATCAATAACTAATTATTTGTAATAAAGATCTTTCGCTATTTCGTTACTTTTCCATAATAAATTAGGAGGAACCATCAAGAGTCATACCTAACAGCTCTGCTTAAAGACACCTTCTAACTTTTAAAGTTAATTTATGAGGGAGAAGGGGTGCAGTCTAGGAGCGCAAACACTTCATTATAGGACTGTATCTTTCTGTATGTCAGACAGTAGTTATATATGCTGTGCTTTTTCTGCCCGAAGTATTAACATTTTCCATGATTTTCTATTTATCCAACAAAACAATCTGCGTTTTACTTGTTCAGGAATATTGTCAATCGAGATTATGTGTGATTAAATGTGCCTGTCAGTTCTTTCGCTCGTTTACTTTGTCATTTTAATATGGATTGATGATTTCGCTTCCGCTGCCGGATATGTAGTTTATTGTCCGTGCATGGGTAGATTTGGTAATCAAATGGAGCATTTTCTCGGTATGTTGGAATTCGCGAAAGCCCTTAATAGAACTTTAGTCTTGCCTCCATTCGTTGAATACCATCCGGAAAAAATGCAAGCCGTAAGTTTCGCATTACACTTTTTCTATGCCAGTTAAATTTTTCTTATTCGGTTGTCCTGTTTGATATACATTGTAGCACTGCTCTTGCTAAGGTCTGCATATTCCCGAAACTGTGAAAGAGCGATTGTGGTCCTAGACACGATATTGTATTTTATTTTCGAAAATTAGTTCGGAAAATCTTTGTTCAGGTCATGGTTGATTTTGATAAATACTTTCTGGTTGAACCGTTACGTCATTTTCATGAAATGATTGTTATGCGTGAATTTATCAAGAAAATCGCACCAAATGTTTGGCCACTGAATGAAAGGAAAGGTAGGAGTTTGACTACTTTTTGTGCATTATTCTAAATGTGCGATCTTTTAAATTCCTCTCTTATCTTGGGTTGTGGTTGTCACCACCTTATCAGATCTATTAAAAATGGTCAATACATCTTTCCTCGTTTGAAAACTGCAAGATTGCAGCATTTTGTTGGCAACCGCGTCAGAGTATCTATGATAGAAGGAAATCACCCGGTTGTCACGCCAAAGAGGGAAATCCATTTGGTCCATTTTGGGATTATTCGAATATAAGTTTTATTGGCGATGTTTATTACGCTTCAGATTTTTCTGAAGCGCATTCTATTAACTCTGTCAGCGTTCGAAAGAAGTGGAATGAAAGGTAAGTATTGCGTATGAATTACCCTCAACTTTAATATTTCATTAGTAAGTTGTAGCCTAAAGAAAAAAGGTACTGTTAGGAAGGAACAACAAATGATAGAAGACTTCGCTTTAAGAGTTAAAGTCTTCAAGAGTTAAAAGAAGCTATTCTCTTGTAATTTGTATTTTTGCAGATTCCCAACTAGTCGATATCCAGTTTTATCGTTCATTTCGGCTCCGGCAACATTTCCAGCACGAGCGGATCATCACCATTTGCAGCGATATCTTCGTTGGTCAGATGCAGTTTTGACAGAAGCTAATAAATATATAGCAGAATCACTTGAAAGACCATTTATTGGTATTCATTTGCGGAATGACGTTGACTGGGTTTTTTTTTTTAGAATATTCTGTTTAACTCAATAATGCAGGATTTCATCGAAGCTAAGGGAACCTTCTCTTGAATTAAATTCCACAAATGTGACAAATCTCGCTTCAGTAGTCTTAAGTCTTATACGTTTCTCTTTTGCTATAAATTCTATTTGCCTGCGGAAGAATTCGAGATCAGCGGTCGAGCTAATTCAGTTGTTCGCAGGAAAATTTATGTCAAATGGTACACAAAAATGAAAATGAAAAATTATTTGGCTCAGCAGTTTGTACTGGTGGCAGCGGTAAATTGACTGCAGAGATGTGTCTGCCTTCTTTGGAAACAGTTATCAAAAATGTGATGTTTTGACTATTTTAGTAACTTTAAGCTTAATGTGTGAATAAAGTAAACAACACTTCTCAAACTTAGTTGCAAATTTTCATCAATTCTCCGATTTCATATAACTATCTTGAGGTACCGGCTGTTCGTATCGTTTATTTTTTGAAATATATTTTCTTTGAAGTAATAAATTTGAGGTTAATAAAGAAGCATCAAAATTGAAAGTACGATCAGTATTCGTATCAAGTGATCGAAATCACTACATCGATGAATTAAGACAAGAACTGGCTCCTTTACAGGTATGTTTTTTAAGAAAAGTGAAAATATAAACATGTAACCATTCTATAACCTTCTCTGCTAAGACTGCAGCTTCAATGACACTTCAATGACAACCAGGTACAAGTTAAATGGTAGCGCCGGGCCTTTCCGCGGCAGGAGTATCATTCATTTTTAAGAACATATGGTTTCGTAATGTGTGATTTCCAGCAAAAAAAACCCGCGGCAAAATTACAGCGCTTTCAGATTGATGTAAAATGTCGTTATCCCGAAAATTTACATGTAAATTTGGCGATTCTTTCAACAGCAGATCATTTTATTGGCAACTGTGTATCCACTTTGAGCGCATTTATATATCGGCAGAGGAAGTACGCATCAAGCATTTCCAGACCTTCATCGTTTTTTGCTCAGAATCATTTTATAGAAAATAAAGACGAACTGTAGCTTTTAGTAAGGAATTATTGCTGAAAATATGCGTTTGGATGAGTGATTGGCGAGCTAGCTTTCACAAAAATTCAGGATGAAAATAAAAGCATAATATATCGTAGAGCACATTTGCCTTAGTTACCCCCAGATAAAATACAATCGAGGGATGGCAGGAATACCAGAAATTAAGTGCCCATATGCAAAGAAAGCCTCTTGAAGGACCTTTTTTGCACATAACAAGTTGTGTTTACACAAAGATTTCAAAAATATAATAACCCAGTTTATGGACCGAGACAAATTCCCACAGTAATTCATATAAGCAACTTTCAAATCATATTTCTGACTGACTTTTGTTTTAACTATATTTTCTATGACTTCACGGAAATGTAAAAACTGTTTTTGGGGAAATAAGCTTTCTGTTACGTAATAGAAATCCAATCCATCAAACCATGCATAGCGGATGTTCATTGCGTGAAAATATTTCCATCAACAGTTCCTCAAGATGCAATCTCTTTTTGAGTGACATTAGAAAGTTAAAGGTGCAGCAATACTTTATGACTAGTTAAACGAAACCTGGTAAATAAATACTGGAATGTTTTCGAGATAATATAAATATACTTCACCAGGTAACGACTCTCCCATTGCCTTTCTTCAGGATATGGAAACATCAGGAAAATTTCAAGTCCTTGAAAAGTCTGGGACTACGTACTAAAACCATATTATAAAAAGGTTGAAGTTCCACGTCCCGTCAACGCTGTCATAAAATGACGAACTTTTAGTGCCACATTCACAAATTTCGGGAAGCCATTAGGTCCAGATTATTCAAGAGCAAAGGAAGGAAGGATCATTGATGATACCAATGTGAGTAGCAACTTCCATCCGCAATCTCGCAATAAAAAATTTGAATTATAGGAAGCTATGGGAGTGAATAAATACATAAGTACAACGGAAAAACAAAAAGATGGGCTTTTCACAACCACCACAAAATGCAAATTACAACAATGACATAAATAAATGATATTTAGAAAAGATGACAATGTGGACGATCACAAGTGTTAAGTTCGAACTCCATCGGGATTTACTGCCAAAAGATTTGAAAATATCGCGAAATGCTGTGGTATTCAGTACGTGAGCTTCGTTATCAGCAGTTTTAAAATCCCTCAAGAAATTAAAGCTGGTAAATGGTTCAGCTTTGATTGCCTCAATTTTTTCGTGAACAAAGAAAATGATGGTTCGAAGAATTTTAGAACGGCTCAAATCAATCAAATTCGAACTTGAAGAGGGTTTTAAGCAGTCATGTAAAATCTAATGAAAAGAAATCTCTGGCTACAGTTGAACCATTTCCCAAGGCTATGAATTCATTATTTCATAGATAAACAATCGCATAATTATGTTGCAGATTAACTGATAAGATTCGAAGATATCTGGGCCAAAATCTTTTAGCGGTAACTCACTTCTTAGAACCCGCTCTTCCAACATTTTCCATCTTCCCATGAGTGCCATTTAAGTGAGGTGTTTTATTCTCCAGACTTTTCACCGATATTTTATTCCCTAATTTAGCGCATATAACTACAGATCTTCACAGTTGTTTGAAGAATTCACATAGCGTACGCAGAATACATATAATAGAGGAATTTTGTTTCAAGTTTCGTTTTTGACAATTTGTTGAAATATCTGAAATGACCTTATTCTAGACACCCCGCACCAAAGCGTCAAAAACGAAATTCGGAACAGAACTTCCTGCGCGATAAGGAAGATAAAAATTCACAATTAATGAGTACCAATAAAGGTCGCCTTTTCAGTTGTCTCGAGGTTTGTTGAGTCCACGAAGATTTTCCAGGAAAGCTGATGGATTTATTAACTGATCCGATCCTGTAACAGAGAAACTGTAATTCGTGATTTTAAGTTCAAAGAATAATGGGAAGTGACGTACGAAACTTACCGATGATAACTTCCCATGGTTTCTTATCTCTGGTGACTTCGTAAGCAACTCTCATTTCTGAATATGTCACTCCACCTACTACAAAAACAATTAACCGGGGTCCCGAGCGATATGATGTCTGATGTCCACGTTCTTTATGCCATTGACCATATCGAGCACTAAACGAACAATTAATGTAAAGATAAAATTGTGGAAACAAGTTCCCAATTATTGAATTAAGGAAAAAATGACAGTGAATAAAGTTACAAGGTTTCCGATTGAAAGGAATTGAAGTTTTAAATAATTCGGAGGAAAACTAAGTGTTGCGACACTCGGAAATGGGTAGAGAACCTGGTTGGTGGGCGATACGTTGGCGTAACTTGTCGTCCAGCTAGAAACGGAAAATGCTTCATATCAAGCCTATCTTCTATCGCATCTTCTAAAATGTCTTTCAGAACTGGAACCCATCGAGAAGTTTGGTAAACCTGTTCGTTGGCACGTTCTTTACGAGTTGGTGTCCAAAATCGCTTACGTCCTTGCTAAAAATTTAAGATTTATAACGAATTCGTAAAAAAAAAAGACCATAACAGACTGAATGAATCTTCGATTAGTTAAATAAAAAATTCACAAACTTTGTAACTCACATCTATAACTATATTCAAACCCAAAAACATTGCATTAGCCAGTGTATCTTTCTCCATTACTTCAATATTCGCATGTTGCAGAAGTTTATCCAAATTCTCCTCGGTAATGCCTCAAGCATATAAAATATAAGGACCGAAGGATTGCACATAGCCTTTTTGGTATTCCGATCCTCAATCACAACTATCCAAAATCAGATTTATTCATCAAAAAATAGCAATGAATAGTATTCAACAGTAAAGTATTTTAAAAATCGAACCGTTTTTCGACAAAATGTAAAGTAAAATAAGCCGGAGACGATCAGGTGGTTCAACTGCTGGATCAATCAGTAAGGGTACCATTAACTTCATAGGATCTTTTACTCGTTCACCTTCTGCGTCAACCTGCATTGCCAGGTCCTATAAACGGTCTTACATAAATTTATAATGTTAACATAGATGGGCATAAGCTTCAGCATATATCATGTTTCACAAACCTGTTCTACTTTACAAAGTTTATCGATTCCTTGCTGATACTTACGCATACATTCTTCTGCCAAATGAAAATGTGTGTTGAATTTGTTCAATTCTTTCTGATATTGTGGCATCTTTTTGATCATCATTGATAAATCTGGATAAAAGTTCAAAAGACGAACTTTAAGGAGAATTATAATTTTTAGATAAGTGCCTAAAAATATAAATTGATATCTTCAGTAGCACAGGAATATATGCAAGAAAAAAATGAACCTTTGATGCTTTTTGCATCAGCTTTCATGCCAGCATTATTTTCGGAAAATTTTTTCAATCCTTTTGTAACTTCTTGCGAAACAACAGCAATATGTTTGTGGCGATTTTCAACCCATAGGTCATCATTTTCATCAAGCAGTACCTCTTTATCAATGCTATCATTGCCACCCGTTTCGTAACTGAAATACTACGAAAATAGGATCCAAATCCTATACCATATTACTAACCAAAAAAGAATTTTATTGAAACGAAAACAATTTTTTAGAAGATAAACTGAGAGTGTACTGTCTGCAAAATTATCGTAAACGGACATAGAAAATTTTGATTCCATAAACTAACCGATAAACATCATTTTCTATGTCCAAAAGATCATATGTCATGGCCTGCAAGGTTAGTTCATGAAGCAATGGACTGATAGCATCAAAGCCCCGATCCAAAATTACTAGCTGACTACGAGCCTTATCTGCACCTTCTCCCATCGAGGGATCATCTGCTTTATAGGCATCAAGCTTCTGCTGCACCAAATGTGATAATTCAACATTGCGTTCAAAATCTGCCCGATACCTGATAATAAAACATTCAGAAAATGTAAAATAAACTTAAATTTCCTGACTTTCCACACGAAACTTCCTGATTTTTTACACAAATCCAATTACTAACCAGTAATGAAATATTTCGCATATTTATTTTCTCTAAGTTTAAAGAATAAGACGTCCTCGCATGTTTTGTTTTGTTATACCTTAGAAGTGGGTATTCTCCGAGTGTTGCACACACCGTAGCAATCTGTTCTGCAATACGTTCTAAATTGGTCGTTA